TTAGGGTTTAGGGTTTGGGGTTTAGGGTTTTGCTCCCTCTGCTTGTGCGGTGTTTGAACAGCCGGCGGATATCACCAGCGCTGCCAATGACCTCTTTGATTCTGTGAGACATCTCGTGGGCTAAGGGTTTAGACAGTAGGGTTTAGGGTTTAGGGTTTAGGGTTTAGGGTTTCGGGTTTTGGCTCAAGCCTTGTGTGTGTGCTGCAGCCACTGAAGGACTCTGTGTCATGCTTGCCGCGGGGAATGAAGTGCGTCACTTGCATTCGCGTCTCGGGTTTAGGGTTTGGGTGTCGCAGGGCTTAGGGTTTAGGGTTTAGGGTTTGAGTCGCGTGTGCTGCAGGTTGCTGCTGTACTGCCTGCTGCAGCAGCAGCGGCACTCGGACTGCGGCGTCTCGCTCAGGTCTCTGCGCAGCTCTTTCCAAACCCTCCTGGATATTCACAAGTTCAAGTTGACAGAAGGAGATGCTTTTGCTGCAGCAGCAGCAGCAGCAGAGGCCCCCCAAGTGGGCATAGAGGACCTCAAATCCATGATAGACAGCGTAGGACCAAACCCTAAACCCTCAGTCCAAACCCTAAACCCTAAACCCTAAACACTCCAGGCACTCCTGAGCACTCGCTCTGTGCAAGTCCCCAGCACGCATGCAACTCTAGGCCACTAAATAGGATATTTTTGAATTTAATTTCATTTTAATCATTTATACTTTATATTTTTGTTCAAATTAATTCAAAAATAATGCATGCGCTTTCTGCGTGCCCGAGTTTGCACTGTGGGAAATGGGCATGGGCGCATGGGCAAGCAGATCTGAGAGTGGAAAGCTGCAGATATTCACATTTTGATGCTTTCTCATTAATTTTAATCTTTTCAATTTATATTTTATTAAATTAAATGCAATTTATTGCCTGTTTCGAGCCCTCAAGCGCGTGTTGGTTCGTGGTCTTGGGTGTGTAGAGAAGAAACACCGAATTCAAATGTGCATTTCGAAAATTTGAATTTGTTTCTGAATTTAGTTGCACAACTGCGTCGGGTGTACGTACAGCTGGCGAGCATGCGCGTGGTGGAGGCATTTCTGCATTTGCCGCTCACAGAGCCGCCGCTGGCAGCAGCAGCAGCAGAAAAGAAGAGAAAGCCAGGTGTACATACACCTGGGAGCAGCAGCAGAGCAGCAACTGTGGACCCCATCATTGACGAAGCAGGGGGAGACACAGAGGTCGCCATCATAGCGCCTGTCCGTCGTGCTGCTGCTGCTGCTGTTGCTGCTGCTGTTGCTGCTGCTGCTGCTGCTGCTGCTGTTACTGCTGCGGCTGCTCAAGCTGGAGGTGCTGCTGCTGCTGCTGCTGAGCGCAGTGGTCATTTTGTCGTTGCTGTGCTGCTGCTTTTGCTGTTAGCTGGGCTCGACTGTCACTGCTACCGCTATTACTGCTGCTGCTGCTGCTGCTGCTGCTGCTGCTGCTGCTGCTGCTGCTTCAGATCGACGACTTGGTAGCCGCGTTTCTGCGTGACGAGGACCTTGAGGGCCTCCCTTTCTAAATGCCAGCATCTTTAAATCAGCAGCAGCAACAGCAGTTGCTGCTGCTGTTGCTTTTGTTTCTGTTGCTGCCGCCGCCGAAGTAGAGGCGCGGACACACTTGCTGCAGCAGCAGCAGCAGCGTGGCTCTCGCCGTTCCCGCAGCAGAAGTTTGCTGCTGCTGCACTGTGTGGCAGCACAGCAGCAGACCAGGCCCAAAGAGAAGCAGCAGAGGGCACAAGAGTGCACCAGAGCAGGAGTATGTTGGGAAATATGTGCTGCTGCTGCTGCTGCTGCTGCTGGCGTGTGCCTTGCTGTTAGCACTGCGTTGGCGCTTGCTGCTGCCTTGCGCGGCTTGTCGCTCGGCTGTTGGCTGCTGGCGGCTGCTGCTGCAGCGCCTGCTGCGGCCAGCTGCTGCTGCAGCAGGGCCTCAAGAATGTTATTTGCTTATTTGCTGCTGCTGCTTTCTGCCCTTTTGTCTATTTGGCCCAAAAGAACAAGCGAGGCTCTCCAGGTGTATGTACACCTGAAGAATAGGGCCTAACGGCCCTCAAATGCAAATTTTGAGCAGCAGCGCCAACTTTGTCTTCTTTTCCCCTTTAGGGTTTAGGGTTAAGGGTTTAGGGTTTAGGGTTTTTGGCGCGCTGACTCTACAGCTGCTGAGCGACAGCCGAGGGTTTAGGGTTTGAGTCTAGGGTTTGGGCTTTGCGCTAGGGTTTTGGTTTGCCTTGCTGTGGACGGCGTCACTAGGCTGCCCTCAAACCCTAAACCCTAAACCCTAAAGAGCAAACAAAAAGGCAGAAGCCTTGCAACTATGCCGGCAGCCCAGGCTGCTTTGTCGCTGCCACACGTGCAGCAGCAGCAGCAGCAGCATAGTTGCACAGCTGCGGCGGCTGCAGCGGTGACGGTGCTGCTGCAGCAGCCCAGCTGCAGCAGCAGCACATCTACAGCAGCCGCAGCCTTTGAAGCAGCAAAGAGGTGTAGCCTCTGGCAGCAGTTGAATATATTGTGGAGCTGCCCCGCTGCAGCAGCAGAGCAGAAGTGGCAGCAGCAGCAAAGCTGCTGCAGCACTAGCAGCAGCACAGCAGAAGTGGCAGCAGCAGCAAAGCAGCTGCAGCACTAGCAGCAGCACAGCAGAAGTGGCAGCAGCAGCAAAGCAGCTGCAGCACTAGCAGCAGCACCATGAGCAGCAGCAGAAGTAACAGCAGCACTACCAGTAGCAGCAGCAGAAATAGCAGCAGCGCCACGAGCAGCAGCAACACCTTCTACCGGCAGGGGAGCGGGCAGCAAAAGTAGCAGCAGCAGCACGAGCAGCAGCAGCCCGGCAGAGTAGCATGCGCAGCAGCATGCGCAGCAGCACAAGCAGCAGCACAAGCAGCAACGGTTCGAGCAATAACAGCAGCAAAAGCAGCACTAGCAGCAATAGCAGCAATAGCAGCAGTAGCAGCAACAGCATGAGCGACAGCAGCACAAACCCTGCGGTCTTCAGTTGCTGCATGCATCATATTGAATTTAATATTTCCATAAAAAGTTTGCTGCGTTTTAGTCAAAAGTTCAGCCGCAGCAGCAGCTGCTGCAGTAGCAGCAAGGCACGATCGAAGGAGCAGCAGCTGCTGCTGTTGCCGATGGAAGCGGCTGCTGTTCAACGTAAAGCGGCTGCTGCTGCTGCTGCTGCTGCTTCGATCCTACAGCATTGAAATGTGTCTTTTAGACAAGAGTCAATCATTTATAAGTCGCATTAGCAACTCTGGCTCTGCTGCTGCTGCAGGCGCTGAATTGCTAGGCGGCCCGTTGCCTGTGTGGCAGCAGCAGCAGCAGCAGCAAGTTATCAATTGCGTTATGGGTCATTTAGGAGTTTCTTGTGCCCAGCTGCATAATTTATAGCTCTTTTTGCTTCTGCAGCTTGCTGCTCGAGCCACTATTCAGTGGCCGCCCGCTGCTGCTGCTGCTGCTGCTGCTGCTACTGCTGCTGCTACAGCAGCAGCACGAGCGCAGCTCTTCAGCGCGCTGGTGCCACCGTCGCAGCAGCAGCAGCAGCCAAGACTGCAGCATCAGTCACTGCCCTTAAAGTGCTTCAGGGCCTGCCTTTCTCCCCTAGCAGCAGCAGCAGCAGCAGCAGTCATGCCTTCCGCTGCAGCGCGCCACTCCGTTGCTCCCCGAGCCTCACGGCGATCATGAAAAGCAAGTCGCTTCCAGGAGCAGCAGCAGCAGCAACAGCAGCAGCAGCAGCAACAGCAGCAGCAACAGCAGCAGCAACAGCAGCAGCTGCAACAACGGCTCCGGGTCCATCCGAGGCGGGCCGAGGTCAGCAGTTCACTGCACCAGCTGCTGCTGCTGCTTCTGCGGCCCACAGCTACAGAAGTGGACTTTCAGAGGCAGCCGGAGCACAGCAGCAGCACGGATCCACGGCAGCAGCAGCAGAAACGGCAGCAGCAGCAGCAACAGCAGCAGCGGCAGATCTCGCCGCTGCAGAAACTCCACTGGAGCGGCACCTGATGCTGCACCCTAGTGTCTTTTTGGGGGAGGGCTACACTGGAAGGCAGCAGCAGCTGCTGCAGCGGCAGCTGCAGCAGCAGATGCGGGAGGAACAGCAACTGCTGCACCTGGTGCCGCAGCCGCCGCCTCGCTGCAGCAGCAGCAGCAGCAGCAATGTGTTTTTTGTTGGCAGCAATGGGGCCACGTGTGACGAAGCAACAGCAGCAACAGCAGCAGCAGCAGCAGCAGCAATAGCAGCGCCAACAGCCGCTTCAACAACAGCAGCAGCAGAGGTTGGGATGCAGCAGGGAGGGGCCTTCCTTGCTGCTGCGGCGGAGCAGCATCGCGCTCCCCCCACTGACATGTGTAGCGCTGCAGCAGCAGCAGCAGCAGCATCTGCAGCAGCAGCAGCAGCGGTGCCAACGTCAGCAGCACCAGTGGGTCTTCAGCATCTCTTTGCCTACATGTCTACGCAGCAGCAAAAGACACAGCAGCAGGAAGTGTTCGCCAGTTTGCTGCAGCAGCATCTGCAGCAGCAGCAACAGCAGCAGCAACTCGCTGCTGTTGTTGGCTGTCCAGCCGCCGCATCAGCAGTTGAATTGGGCCGGCAGCAGCAGCAAATTGCTGCTGTCGCACCTGTTGCAGCTGTTGCAGGTGGCAGCGGCAGCTTTCTGCAGACGATGCAGCAAGCACAGCGGCAGCAGCAGCAGCAGGAACAGCAGCAGAAGCAGCTGCGGGAGCAGCTGCGGCAGCAGCAGCCCGCCGCCCAGCTACCTTCTTTCCTTTCCACGTTGCTGATGACTGGTGGCTCTCATCTGAAGCAACCAGCAGCAGCAGCAGCAGCAGCAAATGAATGCAAC